CTTGTGGGCAATATCTATACCACTGTCAGTCCTTGGTGCTTATTAGGGCTAATAAATGAATAGTTGGAATTCTTCAAAACATGAGTGATATGACATCAATTTTAACATGTTGATAAAACACACCTGAAAACATAAATTCTATCAAGTACAATATTTAAAAGTCCAGAATTTTAATTCTAATTTAAATATGCAAAATTTGTATTTTTAACTTGTATCTAAGTATTTTAAAGATGTATATATTTATTGGAAAGGCAGAGCTACAAAAGACAGAGACAAAGACATAGAGAGAGGTCTTCCATCTGCTGGTTCAATCCCCAGATGGCAGCAAAGGCCTGAGCTGGGGCAATCCAAAGCTGGAGCCAGGAGCTTTTTCAATGTCTCCCACAGGAGTGTAGGGGCCCAAGGACTTGGGTCATCTTCTACTGCTTTCTTATATCATACCAGAGAGCTGGATCAGAAGTGTAGCAGTCAGGAATTGAACTAACACACATATGAAATGCTGGTACTGCAGGTAACAGCTTTACCTGCTATGCCACATCACCAGCCTCTAAATGTTTTTTCTCTTGGACACTGCCTCTGTTAGTTCAATGTTCTGCATGTATTGAAGTTTCTTCATCTTGTTCTTTCTTAATTTAATGCAAGAGAACATTTGCATTTCTTCTTGTGGTGTGCTCTATGAAACTATGTTTGGTACCGAATCCCTAGATCTACTTAGAAATTAATCCAAGTTTACCTTTGTTTGTTGAAGGCAGTTACTCTATGATGTCTTAATATTTATATCTGTTCTGACACTATATTAAAAGTGTGGACCTTGCTCTTGTATTTGTATATCATCACCCTCCTTTTATCACTTGTCTTTTTTTTCCTCTATGATGTCACAAAGTATAGATATTACTGAAGCATTTCTTGTTAAATTTTCACTTTTGACCCACTAAACTTCTGAATCACAGGTTTGTATTTGTGATCAATTTTGGAAATTTATGCCATAAAAATTCTAATAATACTGTCCTTTATTTCTTTTCCTTAGTCCAGAGAAACAGCTAGTAGTTTAATTCTTTCTCAGTCTAAGCTTTTTATATGTAGGTTTATATTTTAAATTCCATTCATTTACTCTTTACTGTGTTTGAATGTACTCACTGTGCTTAATAATATAGTTCAATAGTCTTCAGCTCAGCTCATGTTTAACATGGTTCACATTAAGTAGATTCACTACCTATTCAGTTATGTACTTGCTGTTTCCAAAATATACCTTTTTATGCATATAGTATCCTGTTGTTTTCATTTTCATTTTCCTATGGCCATTGTATTCACTTACAGTGTAACAATACGATGCCTATGTCTGAAGCTTACATGATATGGAATTTTATTTTGGTTGATTAGTTCTTGTGTAAAAAATAATATAAAAATTGATTCTCATATAAGTGATAATTCACTTTGAAATGTTTGCAGTTAGTTATTTTTCAGTCCTTTTGCCCCCTCCAAACTGAGCAACCCAAATATATTAGTCATTTTTTTAAATAGCTCTTATATGAAATGAGAACTTGCTTCTTTAATTTCTTCTCTAAACCATTTTCTTGGTTTAATTTTAAGTTTGTAGCCTTCAAATTTTCCTTCCACATTATTGGGAATTTAAGGGAATCTAATAACATTTCAGGATTTTGACTTTCTGTATTATAAATTATTAGAATATATAACAAATTTTCCAAAAATCACAGTTATCACTATTATACAAAGTAACATTTCAGATAGATTTCCTGTACTAAACAACCATATTTCATGAGAAATCATTTTTTTTATTTTTGTTTGCAACATATTCCTCATATTCTTCTTGATCAATGTACTAGAGCATGATAATATGTAGAAAACAATTATTTTAATATCATACAAATATTTTCATGTTTTTTCACAAACTTATGAAGCATTGCATTTCTTTGCCATTAATAGTCCCTATATACAAGTTCAGAATTACAGTTTTATGATAGCATTAAATGACTATTTGTAGGAATATTTATCTGATTCAGGATTATTCACTCCTCTTCATTAACACTCCCATGAATCTAAAAAAATCATTTTTAAATTTCTGTCTAAATTGTGGGCTAACTTAAATGATCTTAATGAAATGAACATGTAGGTATCTATCATTTGATATTATTACACTTCACTTGATAATTTCTATTGTCATTACAATGCCCCCAAAATATAATCTGGTTGATTTCTGCTGTGAAGGATGCAATGACAATTTTATACCTAAAATTTATACCTACTTAAGCACTTAACTATGGTTTCTGAACTGGAAATATTATCCTTTGTTTCCTGGTCAAAATGTTCCCATTTATTTCTATGCTTAATTAAAAAACTTTTACATAAATTACTGAACTATATATGTGTTCATATACTTCATTCTTTGTTGTTTACATATTGATATTGATTGCTTTTAATGAATCAATGAAAACTGAAGAATCCTCTGTTGATTTCTCTCTGTTAATATAATGGAAAATGTATATATTTTTCCTATTTAAAGGATTTTTGTGTTACTAATTTGGAGCTTTTAACTATTAAGCTCATAAATACCTAATGGTTTATAATATTTCCTAACATTGTCTATAGTGATTAACACTTTAGATTCATCAAATTATTTTTGTTCATAGCAACTTCAAACAAAACTTTATTTTATATTCATTCTTATTATATATATACTACTATGTATATATATTTAACAATTAGTTCAATATACTTATTTAACATATATTTATATATGCAGTCCATCATAATTAATTATTGATAAAAAACTGCCATATAGTTAATCTGACCTGTTTTATAAATTTCAAAGACAAAAGGGAGCATCACCAGCTTCCTTTAGATTAAGTAATCTATCTGTATCACACACTAAGTGTGACTATGCAGTACTAAAGTTATATTCATTTTGCATTTTACATCCTACAAGAGAAGAAAATTTGAGTCCTTCATTCTTTGAGCTAAAATTTTCTCCCATATTAAAATTCCAATTGTTTTCCATGCCAAGTACCCATAAAACCTACTTATATGGATTACTACAAAAATTTTATTAAGAGGTAGATACTATTAGTGGAAACTCATGAAACTGATTACATAACTTGACTTGCAAAATCATCTTGAAAAGATTTGTGGAAATGCATATGATAAAAAATGAAAACCTAGTTTTTCATCAAAATACACTTTCTTTTATTTCCAATATCACAAATTTTTCAATCACTTTTGTATAACAAGAAGTAAACTCTGAAGTCATTAAAAAGTAAAAATAAAATATTTATTTAAAAATCCTCCCATGTACAAAAGCCCATGGCTCCATTGCTAAATATGTGTCTATTAATAGAGATGTAACAATACAAAGTCTTAACATTGTATTCTCTTCAACATGGCTTTATAAATATTGTTTTGTGCATCTGCCTTTAAATCACATATAAAAAATAATTAACCTCCAAAAGGAATGAGTAATGGCTGTTATAGTTGTCTATTTTGTTATCAAAATCTGTGATTTTATTAATTCATATCAGTTTTAGTTACTGCATTGTGTCCTTCATTTCAGCCTGACAAACTCACTTGCTCATTATAGGATTGTTCTATTAACACAACCACTTCAATTTTATCTCACCATGTTTTAATTTTGTCTGATATAGAACTCATATCTGACAGTTGTAGTCATTTTCCTTCCAGTGATTTAAATGTGCCTTCCCACTTACCTCTGACTGCCATTTTTGTCAGAGGAAATCAGCTGTTAGTCACTTTAAAGATCATTTTTGTATCAAAAATCATTTGCCTCTTATTCCTTTTGAGATTATTTGCTCATATTTTGTCAGTAATTTGAAAAGGAATATATCTCAGTGTGCTTTTGCAGCCCATCCTCTTGAGTTCACTCTAGATCTCACATCTGTAAATCAATGTATTTTGTCATATTTGGATATTTCAGCAATAATTTTCCAAATATTCTGTATCCCTTTCCTCACTCCTAGTGGGCATCCCATGATGGCAATTTTAGGACAATCAATGATGTGCTGCAAATGTCTTGGGATCCATTTACTTTTTTCATTTATGTGTCTTCTACTCAGAAGACAAAGCTTCATTTTTCTTAGAAGACACTGATTCATTTGCCTCTTCAAGCCTGTTACTGAACTTGTTTTGTAATTTTGGTTCAGCTATTTCTTAATCTCCTCAATTTCCTTTTGCCTCCTTCTTCATGATTTTATGTTTTAAGAATATTTTTTATCAATTTATTTTATAACTTTTTATTAAGAAGTAACAATTGTTCATGTTTGTGGGGCAAAGTATAAAATCCATCAGTATTAACTAGGTAGGTTTTCTTATCAATTTTTTGTGTTTGGAGCCTTCCAGATTCTCTCTTTGTAACCCAGCCATCCCACCTGTGGGTTTATATGCAATGACATATAGAAGAGATCCCTGCAGTCCCACATTCACTGCAGAATTATCTTTTTGTTCACATTCCTTGCTGTATATCTTACCTATGTTTTCCTTAATTCCTTGTCAATGTTTCCTTTAAGCCCCTGGGCATTTGTAGGACATTTACTCAATGCTAAATAATTACAATTCATTGATTTTTGTAGAATGTCGAGCAGTTGGGGCTTGTCTGATATATTTTTGGCAAGAATACCACAGAACTTGTATATCCTCAGTATAGAATGTTAGGGGACCAGGTGTCCAAATCTCACATTACTGGTTGACTCTGAGCAATTGGTTCAGGTGGTGTCTGCCAGGTTTCCCTAAAGTTACTATTTCCCCCCACTGTAATTAGTGAGTATCTTGTGGTGAGAAACTTTGATAGACAAAAAATCTATTTCTTTTCATCATAATTTTATCCATTAATTTATAGAATCCACAGATGATTCTTGCTTACACATAAATATTATGGCCTGTGGTATTAACCAGTTAGTGATTTTCTATTTCCATAATTCCTTCTATATTTATTCATTGAAATTTTACTATAAGGAAAACATATTCCTACCCCCTCATTTATTTATGCCTGCCATGTACATGGCCGCGGCCACGGGGAGGTAGAAGGAGTAGAAGGCTCTCTTGTACTTGACGATGGATTTGTACCTCTTTTCAGTGTATCTGCCTAGGTCCACGCTGCCCTGGGGCGCTGTGATGAGGTCCAGGGTTTGCCCAATCTCAGTCTGGTAAGAACTCTGTAGGAAGAGCTCGATGAGGTTCAGGTAGTAGGGCTGCTCCCGACAGTAGAACTTGAGCAGGCGGTAGATGCATGCTTCCAGAAGCAGGGCATCGTTGACGGCGTCCAAACCTATGCCTGGCTTCTGATACCAGCAGGGCTGCCCCCGGCGGGTGAGGGATGAATCCATGATGTCATCTGACACCAGGAAGAAAGCTTGCAGCAGTTCCACACACCAGCCCACGGTCAGGGCCCGCTGGAGACTCTCAGCGTCCTGCTTCCGTGGCTCCACCAGCTCCCGGAAGGCCACCAGCACCGTCAAACCCCGGTTGTACTTGCCGCCAATGGCATTGTACTCCAGGACCTCCTTAAGACGGGCAATAGCATCGCCCGTCTCCGGGTGCCCCATCTCCTCCTCGGTCAGCACCCTGACGATCTGCGAGAAGTGCTGGATGAAGTCCTGCTTCTCTTGGGCGTAAGCATCTGGCTTCTGGTCTCCGTTCATTATGAGAGAGGAGCAAAGTGCTCTGTTCCTGGATGCGGGTTCTTGCTTCACTTTATGATCTTTAAAATCTTTTTATTTTAAAGATACCATATGGGACACCTGTATCCCTTATCAGAGTGCCTGGGTTCTAGTCCCAACTCTGCTCCCGAGTCTAGCTTTCTGCTAATTCATAACCTTGGTGCAAGAGGTACTGGCTCAAGTTGTTGAGTCCCTGCCACCCACATGGGGGACCTGGATTGAGATCCTAGATCTTGATTTCAGTCTGTCATCCCTGCCATTGCAGGCTTTTGAGGAAGTGAATCTGTGAGTGAGAACTTATCTCTTTGTCATCTCTGCCTACCAAATAGATAAATAATCTTTTAAAAGTTCATGAAAAGTTCCTATTAAGGAGAAACTATGTGTGTATTTTTCCATGAATTTTTTTTGGAATATGTGTGTCCTCACATATTATTTCACAGGTCTGTCCACTAGAAGGTCCAGGACCAATGTCACCTGCTAGCAAGGGCATATCTAGTACCCTGGGCTTGTCAGTACTCTCCTCCCATGAAAGGGATCAGAGCTCTTTGGAGAAATGGCAGGGCTGTGGTAGGGAGGTGCAAGATGAGTTTGGAGCATGTTGAACCAGTGCCTATATGGGATGCCAGCCCTGCAGGCAGCAGCTTTACCTGCTACACCACAGCACCAGCCCCTTAAGTGGTATCTTAACTGCTATGCTTAACCATTGTGTCCACCATACTATTATTGGCCACATTTTACAAATTAGGACAAAGTTATAATTATGGGAAATAAATTCATATGTCCTACTGTATAGTAAGGTGCAAGGATGATGGACTATATATTTCAAAAGAACTATCAGAGGGTCTGGCACTGTGACGTACATGGGAAAAGCCGCTGCCTGCAATTTCAGCATCCCATATGGGTGCCAGTCAGAGACCCAGCTGCTCCCCTTCTGATCCAGCTCTCTGCTATAGCCTGAGAAAACAGTGGAAGATGGCCCAAGTGCTCGGGCCCATGCACCCTCATGGGAGACTTAAAGGAAGCTTCTGGCTCCTGGCTTTATCTGCATAGCTCCAGTCATTGTGGCCATTTGGGGAGTGAACCAGTAGATAGCAAAACCTCTCTCTCTCTTTCTCTCTCTCTCTTGCTCTGCCTTTCAAAGAAATAAATATTTTTTTAAAAAAAAGAGCTATCAGAAAGAAATGATAATGGTTTGAAGAGATGGACATGCATTCTGTGATTTGAAGATGACTATATATATGTGTGTGTGTGTGTATATATATATATATATATATATATATACATCAAACATCACATAGTTCTTTATAAATATGTATCATGTTCATGTGTAAATTTAAAGAATACAAATTCGGTAAATGAGGCACAAAGAAGGTAAGCAATTATTCCAAAAATCAGAGTGCACATGTAGTGGAAGGGGGAAATCAAAATACAGACAGCCATACTGCAATTCCTAAGGAGTGGAAGTAACTTCTTCACATACACATGTCAGCAGAAAGCCACCAGCCTGAGAGTCCAGTATGGACCTTGTCTTGGGAATAAACAGCAGTCCTAGTAATAGCCACAAAGGAAGCATCATGTACGCATTGCCTGCCTGGACATTAAGTAGCCACTGGAGCTCCCGAAAGTCCTGTGAGGGAGACATTACTGCCCTCAGATTAGACATCGGGGAATCAAAGATCAAGGAGGCTAAGTGATGTGTCCAAGACAAAATAGCTAAGCCACAGAGCCAATAGTTGACCTCACACGTATCTGGATATAAAGTCCATGCTTATACTACATATCCATGTTTCCTAAAATGTATTTTCTGTGGAATATAACTTAGCTTTTTATCACTTTAATAGTTACATGTTTATTTTAATTGCATGTTAGAAATAAATCTAAGCATACTTCAAACTCATTTCAGATATAATACTGCATACAGTGATGGTGTTTTGTAAAATAAATTTAGATAAAAAGTATATAATAATAGAAGTATATAATAATAGAAGTAGAAAAAATTAATAAACAGCCCATGAATGTTTGAGGATTAGGAGATGTAATACTCTAGGATTGTGCAGATTCCTTCTCAAGCATGCCCAGGAAATTAGAGTCACCTATGGCTGCAGAAAAATACAACAGAATAAGGATGTTGGACCTAGATGGGTTTTAACTCTACATGTGTCATTATTACCTTTATAAGTTAGGATATTTCATTTGATCTCTCTGGGCTTCCATTTCTGAAATAAAGTAGAGAGAAACAGAGCAATTTAATTAAGACAGCTCTTTTGAAAGCAATTTGATAATAGTTTCAAGAAACACAAAACTGTACCCCTTTTTATTTATTTACTTTTATTTATTTTTTTTGTTTATTTGAAAGGCAGACTGTGAGAGAGAAATAGAGAGAGATCATCCATCTGCTGTTTCACTTCCCAAATGGCCATAAAAACCAGAGCTGATCCAGGATGAAGCCAGAAGACCTGAGTTTCATCCACTGCTTTCCCAGGCACATTAGCAGGAAACTGGATTGTAAGTGGAGCAGCTCAGACTAAAACTGGCACCCATGTGGAATTCTGATATCCCAGGTGGCTGCTTAGCCCACTATACCACAATGCTGGCCCCACAAAACTGTTCTTTGATTGGTAATTCTACTTTGGGAGCTCTCTCCCAAGAAAATGGAAAACATTTATTTATAAGAACAAAGATATTCATGAATATTGTGCCTCAAAATAAAACAATCTAAATATTCAAAGGAGAACATAAAGAAGATGGAACACATATACTTGGAAGGAGTGTTATGCAATCACTAAAAATGCTATGGAGGTGGGCATTTGGTGCAGCAGTTAAGTCACCACTAGATACCTGCATCCCAAATTGGAGTGTCAGCTCGAGTCTCAACTCCTCTACTTCTAATATAACTTCCTGCTAATGTACTCCCAAAGAAGAAGCAGATGATACCTTAAATACTTGAGTCCCTGACACCCAGATAGTAGATGGTGATTGAGTTTTGGGTTGCTCTTTTTTGCTGGGCTCAGCCCTGGCTATTGCAAGCATTTGGGGAAGGAACAAGCAGATGGAGGATCTATCTCTATATCTCTCTTTCAAAAAATGAAAATAAATTAAGAAACTAAAAAATTTTTAATTCTATGAAATGACAGCAACATACTCATGAAGTGGGGAAATAAAAGAGATCTGTTCATGGGCCACTCTGGAAATAATTATTCTTACCAACTATTGGTATTTTGGCATATTTGTTACCTGCATGTTTTTCTCTATATGGTGATTACTAAATATGTAATATATATAGCTATATACTAATATACTAAATATAATTATATACTATAATAATATATAGTATATTACTAAACATAGTATAGTAATATGTAATATATAATATGTAGTATATAATATGTAATATATATAACTATATACTAATATACTATATAACTATATAGTATATTACTATACATAGTATATTAGCAATATAGAGTACATTAGTTATATATATTACTATATATATTAGATTATATATAGATTACTGTAGGATGTAATATACTCTATATAGTATATAATGGTAAAACCGCCTTCTGAAGTGCCTTCATCCATATGGGCACTGTTCAAGTTCCATCTGCCCTACTTCTGATCCAGCTCTCTGCTGAACCCAGGGAAAGCAGTAGAAGATGACCCAAGACTTTGGGCCTGTGCACCCATATGGGAGACCCGGGAACACTCCTGGTTCCTGGTTTCAGATTGGCCGAGTTCCAGCCATTACAGCCATTGGAAAGTGAACCAGCAAATGGAAGATGTTCTCTCCCTCCCTCTCTCTCTCTCTCTCTCTCTCTGTAACTCTGCCTTGCAAATCAATCAATAATTCTTTGTTTTTAAAAAATAATCTGTTCACATACTATAGTAACCACCATATAGAGAAAAACATGCAGGTAACAAATATGCAAAATACCAATAGTTGGTAAGAATAATTATTTCCTTGCATTTTCAAAATTTTCTCCAATATTCTGAGATTATATTTAGGAAGGAGAAAAGTATCAGTTAAGGGATTCAGCTGTGTAATCACAAAAATTCCCTTTGGCTTTAATATTCTGTGGCTTTTTTCTGGAAATGGGGGTGGAGGTCAAGCAAGAACAAAATGTTAGAAAAGTTTAGTGGCAGGGACTCACCTGTTTAAATTATTTAATGCACTGTAAACCACACATGAGACATCTGAACTTGCAGAGAACATGCAAGCCCTCCATCTGAGTGGCAGAAAGGGCATGAGTCTGGGAAATAGGTGACTTAAATTGAACCAGATGATCTTGAGGGCCCTCTCCAAGCAACTCAAATCACTTGCACATCCACTTACTGAATAAAAATCCACCAAATGCCTAGGACATGCCAGGAGTCATGAGGTTGAATGATCATTGAACCATTCCTTCAGAGTCTAGTGAGAAAGAAAGATCTGATTTCATTTCATTTACATAACAAATACCACAAGTCGGTTGGCTTAAACAAAAGGGACTCATTCTTCACAGCCCTGGAAGCTGAAAACTCAAGAACAAGGTGTCTTCAGGTTTGGTTTCTTCTCCCCTCCAAGTATGAACCAGGCACAACTTTGCTTGGCTCCTGAGACCAGACAAGAATAGGTATGTTGAATGTGACATGGTCATAGAGCTAGACTGGTGTCATCTACGTCCTCTCCTTGACTTGCAGATGACCACTGTCTTGGTATGCACGTATACAACAAGTACACAGACCAGGCTTTATAAATAGCAGAAGTACATTTCCCACAGTTCACTGGAGATGGGGTGTCCAAGATCAAGAAGACCAGCATGACTGCAAACTGTGGTCAGGTGGTGACATCTATGCTGTGTTCAGAGCACCTGTCCTTCTCCTGGGTCTTCATATGCCATAAAGACCCATGATAGAGCCCTCTGGGTCCTTTCACCAGGGCACTAATTCTCATGCACAAGGGCACCACCCTTTGGCACAATTAGGGACCCATGCTCATAATGCTGTCACATTAGGGGTTAGGTTTCAACATGCAACTTTCAGGGGGACACATTCAGTCCAGAAGAGTAG